ACAAAGCAAGTCTTTCTAAAGGCTGTTATGTACGTTCAGAGAAATGCTAGTAGGAGGAAGTGATGGGAAGGTGGGAAAAGATATAATTAAACCTTGTTATGTCTACAATAGTAGGTCACTAAATAAAAATATAGGTTGGCCTTCCTTTCATAAAACCTCTTTTTCTTGCACATTTGGTTTTTATATTGGTTGAAAGTAGGCATTTCAGCCTCCTTTGCTGCTTTTTCCAAAATAAGCCCTTTCTAATGTGCACAAAACAAATGGAACAAAATAGTCTAAATAGTTACAGCATACTTCCAAAAAAGCTATCTTGTGCAATATACTTCACTTATGATGCCTAAATAATTTTTGAATGGAATATTGTAGACGTTATGAATATCTTGATTTAATAGCATCTGTTTTAGCTTTTGAACCTCTTCTTCCTTCTAAGTCAGCAAAGGAATAGCTACGTATAATTCATATCTTTCTTCCTCCCACAGTTACTAAAATGCACGTAATGTGTGGCCATGGTATTATTGCAATATGAATAAACAAGAGCAAGAGATTTTTTTAAAGCTTTTTTTAATAAATGACACTTTATAAAGATAGTTTATAAATGAGACAATAATGAAGGATGTTCATTATTGGGAATGTATCAAAGCCTGATAATAGTTATCACATGTCAAAACAAAGCAAAATAAATTGTATGGAAATTCAAGTTGTACTGTGTTATTACAGTTCTCTTATGCTGTAAAGGTCTCACGCTCTTTATTTGAACAGATGGGTAAAAAGCATTTTGTTTGCAGGCACTGATGACGTTGTAGGACCAGAAGGTATGGAGAAATTTTGTGAAGACATTGGAGTTGAACCAGAAAATGTAAGTTCAAGGTTCATTCAAAATCTTTCTGGTCTTGTTGTGATGTTGCTGAGCCAGTTTTATATCTGTTACTCTTCCATCCAGAGTTACAAGTCTGTAAATGGAAATTTTGAAGAGGTAATTTAAAATAAAGGAGTGAAAAGCAGAGATGTTTCTGTGAATGCTTGGAAAGAAATTGCCTTCCTTTTAAACCCAAAGCTGTTAAGTTGTAAAAACTGAAACATTCATTTGCCGCTTCCTCCCTTCCTGCCTCCCAACTCCCCAAAAGAGAAGGAAAAGGGATCGGTGTCTTTTCTGAGGCCTTATTGGAGGTTTAGTATAACAACTACAAATTAATGTTTTATCTGTGTTTTCTAGGGGAGAAAGGGATTTCAAATAGGAGAATATTGTGAACAATATTAGCCCTCCCATCGTGCCATTTCAAAATCCAAAGGGATCATGAGTAGTTGTCTCTAACAGGCTTTTTCCTAATACCTAATGTGTCCTCTTTAAATGCATATGCAAGTCCTGTCTTCTATAGGATTTGTAGAACATCATCCATCTAGATAAAATGAAAATTCTATTTTTCAAAGAATTATTGGAAATATAAGTCGGAACTTTCTAATTTTGAAGTTCATTAACATAATAAACGTTTGTAGTTGATGCAGACCTTTTGGAAATAAAAGCAGGTATTCTGATTTTGCCATTAAAAACTATTCATAGGTGCATTAGCATGAGCTAGATAAATGGCTGGGTTGCAAATTTAAATGACACGACTATTTTTTCCTTTCCTTCTAGTCTGCAGGGAAAGTTGTCCTGCAGCTTTTTCCATGCATATATCAAAAGTGATACCTTGAATTTGTGAACATTATATGTCACAATCTAATGTCACTTTTCCATATTCTTTCTTGCCTCAGCTTCATATGTGAGGTGTGAAAAGGATATCTAACTTTCTTTTTTTGGGGTGAAAATATTTATGAATTAGCGTTTGTTTTGATGTCTTAGATATTTTGATATTGTTAGTTCATCTACTTTCACTTGCTATCTACTTGAATTATACTGCATGTTCAGACTTGAAAGGTAGGGTGACAGTAACTGAGTTCAGGTGGGATCATCAGCAACTTTAGAGGAATTAGATTTCACTCGTCTCATGGGTTGTACTGATGCTAATCCAGGTAGGAATTTGACAGATGTCAAAAGTAACTTGTTATTAAATTGGTACTTAGATTTTGTAACTGGTTTGGGAAACCTTTTCTGTAGCTTTTTAATGTTAAATTCACCAACCCATCTTCCTCATGATTGTGCTGCTCACAGTGACATTCTGTGCATGTTCCTTTGAAGAAGAGAAGGTGGCTACTGGTAACTTGGATGTATGTTGGCTCTGTATCTTTGCGCTGTTACTTTCTTTTTGTTGGATTCTGTGTGAGAATTGAAACAGTTAAGATTGTGCTGGTGTTTGGTATTGTATACCTTCAAATGGATGTGAAGCTTACTGCAGCATTGCAGTGTTTCAGACGTAACATTGGTATCTTGAACTGTTACTGAACATGATTTTACTTTATGAAGGAATATATGCTGTAAATCTGAACATACATCTCTGTGAAGATATCTTTAAGTTGCTTACAAGTTGAGTTAGAAGTTAGTGCCTTATCAATACTTCTAATTAAGTGAAATTACATCAGAGTCCATGATGATAAATATTATAAGGAAATAGTAAGATAGTCTCTCTCTCTCTGAAGGGGTCTTAACTGTTGCTGCTTGACTCAACTGTACCTGCATATGATAGACTGAAGAGACAGCAATGTAGAAGAGAGGTGCAGAGGTGATGGGTACAAGTACTTTTGTGTAGACAAGTCATATAGTCATATTTAGATGATTAACTTTTCCAGTAACAAAAATCGGAACATCCTGATTATGCAAGTCAGGTATTTGTAGCCTACTAAATAGTAATTGTTCAAAATTTTTTTTTTTTGTTAATTCAATTCAGTCTTAACTCTTTTTTCCTCTCTGAAACAGGTAGTTATGCTTGTACTAGCATGGAAGTTGGATGCACAGAACATGGGTTACTTTACATTACAGGAATGGTTGAAAGGAATGACATCACTACAGTAAGTGCTTTGGAAAAACCTCCAAGTCTGGTATAGTGATTTTTTTTTTTGGAAAAAAAATAATTTTTGGGGGGGGAAAAAACTTAATTTTTTTGACACACAACCTGAAGCAGAGCGCTCTGCTTTAGAGTAGTAGCTATATGTTTTTGCTCCTATTTACAGAGGAATGACTCACTTAGAGACAACTTTAAACTTGACAGCTGCATGTTAAATACAGCTGGCTTAAAGTGTCTGCAGTCTCGAAAAAACAAACGTCGTTAGGTTTGATACTGTCTATCCCCAAGGAATGGGACGTCTGTCTTTGTTACTGGAATGGACCTATCTGTTAACTACTTAAGCTTCAGAGTCATTGCGTAAATATTAAATATTAATATGTTATTAGAGCATGTGTGGTTCAAAATGCTAAATAATATGTCCCCTTTTTGTGACTACACGTTTTTGTGTTTTTTCTAATAATTAATTTCTTCAGCTGAAATCTTATCATCATGGGATAATTAAATGTAGTTGTATAATTACTTGTTTGATAGAGAGCTGGGGAAGAACTGTATTCTAACTTATCTTCTAAAGTAGAATCATTACAAGTTTATAGGAAATTTTATCAATAAAACTAAAGTAGTATGTTTTCACTTCTGTGCTTGGCTGGCTCTTTGCCTTGTGTGGATGAGCTCTTAGTTTAATCTGCTGGGGAATGTGTTTTCTGTGGCTCTAAACAAATTTTTATCAGTGTACAAGCAGAAGCTTTTACTAGCTTATCTAAATTCGTTTCACTCTTGGGGTTAAATCAAGGCGTCTTACACAGGCAAACTCATAAATGTGTCTTATATTCTATACAGAGCTATGGGAACAGAAACATTAGAGATTCTTTCTCTAAAAACATCAGACATCAATATAAGAATAAAGACTATAAATTCTCTTTGTGTTTTTCTTGTAGATGTGATACCACAGAAAAATTGAGGAACTCTTTGGATTACTTGAGGTCTTTGTTAAATGAGCCTACCAATTTTAAACTTATTTATAGATATGCATTTGACTTTGCAAGGGTGAGTATGTGGAAGGGCAGCATCTGAAATTAAAACTTGACTTTCATAAATAAAAGTTAAGAGACCATATAGTATTTCTTTTCCTAAGATACCACTCAGGATTGCTTCTAACACATGGCAAAGTTTGTTTTCAATAAGTGTGTGCAAAATACTAGAAAAATATATAGGATGCTTGATGGTCAGTGGATTAGTGTTTTAGATTTTGTACAGAAGGCATATTTTATTGCTCTCTACCTGTGAACGTGCAGAGATTCACAGTAGTTCCCTCCTAACCAAGGAAACCTACAGTCTGGATATGACAGGATGCATGGAACTAGCGTGAGGAAAACAAACCCATACCAATTCCTTAATTCCCCCTTTCCTGTATGAAGATTTATTCTGCTAATTTTTCTGGAAGTAAAATGCGGATACAAGAAATAACTCACATTGCCAAAAAGTTAAAGATACTGATGAGATACTGTGAATTGATTTTAAAAAAAAAATCTTTTTTACTAGTAGTGAATTGTGCCAGCAGAGGGCCTGTCAAAGAGAAATGAAGAGACTTTAAAAAAAAAAAAAAAAAGACAAGTGGGTGGAGCGTTTTCAAGAGGTACTAAACAAATGGACATGATGTGCCATGCTGTTGAGTAAGAAACTGAACATTGGGAGGTGTGACATCTCTTGTAGGAGAAGTTTAAAAAAAGAAAATTCACAACTGCAAATCAGGGTCATACCAACTGGGGAAATGTTGAACTTCTATTAGATTAATAGAATTATTGAATTTCTAATACTATGGGGCTGGGGTGAGTCTATAGGAGAATGGCCTACTGTAAAAGTGGGAATTAATGCTAGTAGAGCTTGATATAGCTATCTGGATGTGGCAGAAGAAGTTGTACATCATCTTAAACAGAATAATGGAAGTGATTGATAGAAAAAAAAACTGACAGGAACAGCTTGGAAATTACACAATCCTCTGAATGAAAACCCATCCTACAGATAATCATTTCAGGAAGGTGTTCAATGGCAAAAACACCTATCCTAAACTTCCTAAGTTTTAAGGGATAATTTGAAACTATCAGTTGTGATTTGGTATTTTAGAGTTAGTTTGTCAGTAAAAGCAAGCGTCATCTAGATTTTATGCAACACGCAGAATGTAAATCAGCGTGGACTTCAGGAAGTCATTTAAAACACCATGTGTTGGTATTAAACATAAATACATTCTGTGCCTTGTTTGTCACTGTCAAGTTTGAGAACATACAGAGGCAGATATTTTATGGCTTAATTAGGTCTTCTGTCTGAAATATGAAAAATATCTGTCTATCACGAATGAAAAACAAATGCTGAAATTTGTCAGACTTCGCCACTCTTTCTACCGTATACCAGAAAGAGAATATAGATATTCCAAAATGTGGGATAAGAATGAAACCAAAGCATCTGTCAGGGCAGATGTGCCATTTAGGCAGTTGGAGATGTGTATAAAGGACTTGCCTGAACAAATTATTCTGAGCAGTAGTTAGAGAGGGGGAATGTAGAAACTTGATGTCAGACATGCAAAGAACAGCATAGCTGAAGTAAAGGCATCATCAGATCCTTGTTTCGTTAGCACTTGAGCGTGGGAAGAATTCAGAATATAAACAGTATTGAAAATAGGGTCTATAGTTACAGGGCAGTGTGAGTTCTGCTTAAGGTGCTTGTGACAGCGGTAAGGTGTAAATAGTCATTGTAAAGGGGTTTGGTGTTACGACTATTTGATGTTGGAAACAGGTGAAAGTGTTTTATGAATGCAAAAATGCTTCTGCAGGTTTCAGGTGAGTGGTGAGTTCTTTGTTTCTCCTATGTATGTTACTCCAGCATTGTTACTAATCTGAAACCTTTGTTTGTCCTGTAATTTACTTGATTCATCTAGGCTGGATTGGATGAAGTCCCTTTTGCACTTTGTGATCAGAATATGAAAACAGCTTGTGGTGTTTTCAGAGTTGCAGGCCTTCCCACTTTTGTTACAAAACAAATGTGCACTAAATTCTGTCTATGCGGTTTCAGAAGTGAGATGTATTTTCAAGGAAATGAGTTTCAAGAATAGGGAATAATCTTGTAGTTAAGGCGGTCTGTTAGAGAACTGGGATTTCTCTCTAGTTCTAGTGCATCCTTCCTATGTGGCACAAGACAATGTGGCTGTATTTTCAGCATGCTTGCATTTTATAATACATAACTGCACCTGTACAGGTGAGGCATTGGGCTCAGTTCTTGTACGGTTCTGTTAGGTACTCTCTATACCAATGTTTTTTTCTGGTTCACTGAAGTAATTTAGGCTTTGCAGTCTACAATCATGGTGAGAGAGGGACTATTAGGGCCGGTGGAGGCCTAAATAGAATTTTACTTTATTTTTTGTGATTTCATTCATTCCTGAATTTGTAGCTTAATGCTCTACTTGAGACATAAAAGGGTAGGGTTTTATGTCCTATCTCTCACCAAAATTTAAACTATTTAAAATAGCAAAATGGAATCTTATTTCCGCACATTACTTTTGAGATGTGCAGAAATTGTACGATCAAATAAATTAATTTGTCCACAAGTTATATAAAATGAAATTGCTAGGTACAAATGACACTTTTATTTTATTAAAGAAAAAGAAACGGCACCCATGAACCTCAAACATGTTACTCCTATGTTGAATCCAAACTGGGACAGTTCTGAGAGGAGTCTTGCTGTGCTAGCTCTTACTGTCTTATGTTCCCTCTGCTACTTTGTTAATTCATTTAATCTAAACTTAATATAATCAGTAGAATGACAGGACAAAGAAAGAGCTCCTGGGTCACGCTCGCATAATCAATGTTACTTGGTAGCTGCTTATCACCTACAGATAGTTGATGTAGTAGTATTAATACCTCAGGAAATACTTATAGTAATACTATTTAAGAAACCCATGGCGATGCAGAGGCATACGTACACACATGGATATGGGTCCAGTGGCCATCTCTTTCCAGAAAGTGTGGAAGTAAAAAGTAGGAGTGGATGCTTCATCTGCAGTAGGTTTTCTCAAAGAACTGTTGTTGCTATGGAAAGCAACTCTTCATGGCAAGTCATTAGCTCTGAGAAGAAGTATAATGTTTTACTAGGAAGTTTTTTTAAATAATAATAGCATCTAATACTGTTTTTTTAATTAACGTGTTTTATGAATGAGTGAACTGTGGTCTAGGTATTGGGGGAAGCCACTGGGATTGGGGATTTCTTTTCTCCTTTTTGACCTTTTTTCTTTTGATACAGGAAAAGGACCAGCGCAGCCTAGATATCAATACTGCCAAGTGTATGTTGGGGCTTCTTTTAGGAAAAACATGGTCTCTTTTTCCAGTATTTCACCAGTTTCTAGAGGTATGAAGTTTGAAAGGGAATTGTATATTTTTTTGTCTTCTCTGATGTTTTATTGTAATGAAATGTACAGTAAATAACTAAGAATTGGTATTTCGATCCCTTTTTTCCTGACTTAGATTATACTGACCCCCAAAACTGCACTTGTAACTGATATCTTTCCTTTCTTCCTGTTCACCAAATCCCTCTGCTTGTTTAATACAGGGCAAATTACAGAACGTGTCATGAATTTGCTTATAGACTGTCGTTTAATTGCTATAAGCTTGTCCAATAGAAGAAGTCTTAACTAGAAACATGAATTACTCAACACCACTTAGTGGTTTGTTTAATCCCTGTTTGGCTTTAGACGGCATAGAGATTAGAATCATAATTCATCACAAACCCTAAATTTTCTGTAAGAGTATCCTCAAGTTTGAGGGAGTTGAAAATATGTTTCTTTCCTTAAGCAGCAATCGAAATACAAAGTCATCAATAAGGACCAATGGTGTAACGTGCTTGAATTCAGCAGAACAATTAACCTTGACCTCAGTAATTATGATGAAGATGGAGCCTGTAAGTACCACGATACGTTGATGTTTTAAAATAATTTATTTCTCTGAGTTTAATCAGTCAGTCTCCTCTTACACCATTTTGTAAAATACAGTTATTTGATCTCTCTACAGGGCCAGTGTTGCTGGATGAGTTTGTGGAATGGTATAAAGGAAGACAGATGACATAGGAGTTTAACTATGCACAGCCACTCAAGAGTCACTGTTACCACAGTTATGTCAACCATTAGCCATAAACTGCTGTTTGTATCGAAGTGCATGCTGCTTTTCTTGCACTGTATCCCTCTTGCAGGGAACTTTTGGTGTTTGCTATTTAACAAGCCAGCTATGCTTGCTGTGTAGCATTGTTCTCTTTGAAGGCTGCTTTGCATTCTGTATTTACACTACAAAATAGTGAACTTGCCAGCGTCTTCACTGTGATTATGTGTATATTGCTGTCTAAATTTTGTATATGTATATAAAAAAAAGCTTCACCTAGGGATTATTTCAGCAGAAATGTATTGTAAAAATTAATTTTGTGGCATATTTCTAATCACTTATGTGTTCATTGAAACTTCAGTTATTTTGTTTTTCTTTTGGTCTCAAATGTAGCATTTCAGAAAATGAAATGGGACAGACTGCTTGGACATAGTTACCATGAAGAACTATTGTCAGTTTTAATGTTACTGTTTGAGATGCCAGTTTCTGAGGGGAGAAGATTTGCTGTGACTTTCTTCAGGGGAATTCGCCAAACACGACCTTTTGCTTAATAGGAATGAAACGTCAGTGTCTTAAAAGTTATATACACACACACACGTATATATATATATGTAAAAACACTGTAATAGTTGTACATGCCACAGATGATTTCTATTTGAAGAAGAAAGTACTGACTTTTTAATGTTAAAACCGCAGTAGTTTCATTACAGGTACAAATGAACAAATTAAAGTACCTTTTAAAAATGGATTTTAGACTTTTTTAAATTCCGTTTGGCATATTTCTTTTAAATTTCGGTGTACTAAGTGCTTGGACTGTGTTGTGATCTAGTGAAATTAAAAGTTTTATCTAAAATTAGTGCTTGAGGGAATAAAGTCTGCTCAGCCCCAGCCTATAGTTAATATAGGTTTGGATCTTTCTTTGTAATATTAGTCTTTCCCATGGTCTATAGCTTTGGTTCTGAGTAATTAAAAAATTTTACACTGAGTAGTCAAAACATTACTTTTTCTTTCATGCTGGGGATTGGAAGTTCCTAGCGGAACGCCCATTGCAGGCAATGGGCACATTAAACACCAGCATTAAATGACAATACTTTTTAGCAGGGACCGCTTCCTGTTTCACATATTTCTCTATTTGTATAGGACAGTTTTACTGATTATTTGGGGAAAATGAGTGAACGGAAAGGTGTTTTAAGTTCTATATTTTTGTCACATTGGCCTTGCCTTACCTGTCTGTATTTAATGATACAGTTGATTTTTAGGTTCTTAAACTATCCAGTGCTATTAAACTTTGATCCCTGAGGCTTTTTATAAAGGTTCCATATTATTTCATGGAACGTTTAACAAAAAGGGACCAGTGGGTATTTTGGAATAAAGAATAACATTACTTTTCTGTAGAAGCCTTTTTGAAAGGTATTGGTAGTTTTAGTGTTTCTCTAGAATGCAATCTGAAAGGTGGGGAAGCGTTTTAGGTTGAATGTGAAAGTTTCAGCTGCATTGAAGGCCCTGTTCTGCCATCCCTCAAGTCAGGAATAACTGTCGTTGACTTGGCTACTTTCAGGATTAAGCCTGCTTTTTGAAAAGCACGGTAGCTTGCTGCCCTGGACCAGGAGGTTGTAATTCCTTTGCTACTGGTGGTCAATTTGTGTTCAATTCTTTTTTTTTTTTTTTTTTCCCCTCCCCCTCTCTCCCCTTGCTCCAAACTCAGCTGCCAAAGAAAGTTATTTGTGTGTGTTTGTGTGTATCTGTATTAACTTAAAGATACAGTATATATGCATATACAAAACCTAAAGTTCCATGATATTAAGGAGAAAATACTACCTTTCCCCATGAAAGTGTCATGTTTGAATTTCCGTGACACTAAATAGGTAGCATTCTTTAAAGTTAATAATGGTAAAGCGTACATAATCATTGCTTTTTCATGTACTAATACACATAACATTAACTCTATACTGGAGGCCAGTTTGCACAATATATTAATTCAGTGGAGTGTGGTATTTAATGTTTACAATTAGTGTTTACTAAAACACACAGATTTTACGATTTCTGATGTAAATGTGTATAATACTATAGTATAGCTGTAAGGAAAAAAGCATGGAGCTGCTGGTTTAGTTCTTTAAAGAGTGAACTTAGAAGCAATATAATTCGTAACGTTAAGCTGAATTGTGGTTGCTAAAATCCTAAGTGAAATACTGCAAGTGTTCTTAAGTTTTGGGTTAGTTATTAACTCTAGAAAATGGTTTAGCACAAATTGGCATGAATACTGCTAAAATACAAGGCTTGCTGCTTAAGAAGCTTTGTATGTGACCAATAATTTGGCTTCCAATAATGGAAGCAAGAGCCAAAGACATTTTTAATCTATTACTCTTATCGGTATAACTTTCACGTAACAGGGTCAACAGAAATCTGTTCAACTCAAACAAGTGTTCTTTTTCCCAATTTTTATAAATGTTAAGTAGAATACAAAATTTAATTTAAAAACAAAGAAAACAGGGAAAAAATGGAAAATATTCATACTGTATAGATTAAACCCTTCAGTTTTCGTTTGTGTACGGTTAATTGGGAGTGAGGGCAAGGAATAATGTGTTTGAACGTGGATCAGACAGATACTGCAAATGTTCTCTTCTGGTTGTAAGCAAGATGAATCTGTGCTCTTCAGTTGGTTTAACACACACATCTTCAGAAAATGAACCACAAATGTGATTACAGCTAATTGATGTCTTTACTGCAACTTACAGAGATCAAGACAAACTACCTCTGACCCTTAACAGCTTAATAAGCTTCCATGCATTATCTGTCCTTTTGTTTGTTCTGTATCCGCTGACAAGCAGCGGGACCTTAACATTACCAGCTCCTGTATTTTGGAGGAATTCCCTCTCCTTTTTACACTGTGGATATTTAGCAAAGCTTCTTGATTTTACCTTATATGTAATACAAGTTTGAATTTTGCTTTTTTGTTTGTTTGCTACACCATCCAATGGTTTTTTGTATTTTTTTGTGTTTTTTTCTTCCTTCTTTTGAAAAGTGATATATGGAGTATCCTGACTTCTTGAACAGGACACTGAAAGGTCATTCTGGTAGAAGTATCATGAGTTTAAGCTAACTTTTCAGGTGTAAGATAACTGTCCCTATAGCAGAAACGTAATGACCTATGTGTAATTCATGCTTGATATTTAGGAGATTGTAAGGTGAAAGGACAGTTAGTGAAAGGAAAACAGCATCCAGATACTATAGTAGTGGACACTGTAAACTGGTAAATGACAGACATTTAGAACTCTTTATTAATAGAATAGCAATAGGTAATATTAATTACAGAAACATTTCACAAATTGATATATATTTCCCTTTACTGCAAAGTAGTACACAGTAATTTAAAATACTAATTTAATTCTGTGTTACCATTTTTTTTTTTTCTCCACAAGGAAGGATAGTTGAGGAAGATAAAATTTATTGGAATGCTTTTATGTACTTATCAAGTTTTCAGTAAGAAGCTACGTTCCTATGTTAAGGTTATCTTTAAATTATAGTAAATGTTTGGGTCATCTTTGTGTGGCCTTTTCTAACATTTGTAGGGGACTGGAGGCATCTCCTGTTTTATTGCAAATACAGACATTTTATTTCATCACAAATATGCTTGCACAATCGAAATGAGCTACTACTTGCTTAACGTTCACTAGTTAGGTTTTTTGGAGCGCAAGAAACAGACTTCAGTTTTGTTAAGGTTTTTCCAGATTTCTGTTGACCCCCTGGTCACAAGTCTAACAAATTGTTGGAATTCATACAGACAGCTTTTAAGGTTAGCTTGTGCCCTGGTTTTGATTATAACTGCTAAAATACCTCTTTATAGGCCTTATATTTTATTATTTCATATTGTTATAGAAGTGTATAGAATCCATCCACCAACTTAGCTGATCGTCTGTAATTGAGACCAAAACGTAGGGTATTTTGGGGTGATGTTTTTTTTTTTTGGTGTTGTCACAAAATGGTTTCTACTGACACTGCTGTTGCAGGAACAGCAGTTAACCTGCAACTGTGAATGCTTTGTCTTAGTTATTTGCCTATTGTATGCATAAGGTGTGCTAAACTCCTGTGACTCACAGCCTGACTAAAATACTGTTATGCCACCTAACATGAGTTCATCTTGAGTTCATTTTTAGGATTTTTGCTGGTGTTGATGTAAAATAGTATCCCACAAATAAACAGTATTTGTGATGGTTTCTGAACCTGACTTTAGATTTTTCTGTGGTTCGTGCTTTAGAAATTTTCTCACCTGAATACACGCCACATGTCAGTGACAATTGCTGACAATAGCTAGTTTGAATTTTTGTCTAAAATGCCTATTTAAGAAGCCCCTGAAAAATTCCAGTTTTTATGTTTTTAAAATATGTTGGCTTTTAATGCTTAGTCTACCCTTTTCACTTAGTAGCAGAGAAATACTAAGGCAAATCAGTGTTTAAAACTTTGTTGGAAATGGGTACGTTTCAAATATGGGGTCTGTGTGCGTGAAACTAATACAAAAGTTATTTTCATGCAGAGTCAGCTTCACCAGGAGTGCATCTTCAGATGGAGTTTTACAGCAAGCATCTTCATAACCTGTTCGTCTCTTAAAGCATTCATAAAGAAGATTCTGTAAGCTTTTTTTTAAATACAGTGTTGGAAGAGGCGACCAGTCTGGTGTATTGAATGTGGTGATATTTTGCTCTTAAGGTCTGTTTGTGACCTCAAATCCTTCTATTTTTCTTACTTTTAGCAAAATTTTTTCCATGATTTGTCTTGTAATGGGCTGTTTGGTTGATCTTTATGAAACAAGAATAATTATATCTAAACAGAGCAGTAGAAAAGCTGTCAGCAACGTGACATGAAAAGTGCAGCTTAAATGTCAGTAATATATTCACCAGTTCAATTTTTAAAGGAGCCATTAGTTGGTCTTACTACTTAATATTGTCTTCAGAGCTGCAGGTTTGTTTTTGAGTAGGAAACAGACCTAAAACATTGCCAAGAGTTAAGAACAAGTCTAAGCAATTGTTCTTTTTTCCTTTTTTTTTTTTTTCTCTTCCACTATTTGAGTGACTGGTCCCAAGGCTTTCCACTTAGTGTTACATTGTAATGCGCTGCTTGTTTTGGAGAAGTGGCCCTTCCTTGTGTTTAAGGTGGTAATCAAATCTGGGGTTGGCTTCAGTTCCCAGAATGTCGGCGCTGCTTGTGTTACTCAGAGGTGGTGAGTCAGGCTTCTCTACCGTGAGAACCTTCATGTTTTTCCCAAAATTTTATGGTGTTAGCTGCCTGTAGATTAAATGTGAAAGTCTTTACGTCATATTCAAGGGTTGTTTACTAGCCCAGTTGTCAGCATACTTTGGAAAGACTAAAATGCTTTGTAGCCAGAACAATCTGATAATTATCAAAATATCCTAAGTATGTGACTGAAAATATGAGCTTTGTTATACTGTCATTACTGTATCTGAAGTTCTTAATCTGCTCTTAAAATTTTAGTATTTTTTTCCCAAACTGATTCAGTATATCAGGGATGCTGTGTTGTTTCCAGTCTTGAGCTCAGCGTTTTGTTGTCTGGTGAGAAGAGTACGATGAGAGTATTGCCAACATCCTGTCAGCTACACCTTTGATCTTCACTCAAGAATTTGATACAGCATATGCTCACTTAGCCTACTTTCATAATGAAGCTTGTTCTGTGACATAATCTGCTTATCCACTGTCAACTGTGATAGTGACTTAAACCTTATCTGAACATGTGTTCTGCTGCCTGAAGTTACTGATGAAGCTGAAGTAGTTCAGCTTCCCTAGAGCAGATGCAGTTGTACCTCTCTGCAAGGATAACTACCATATGGGATGGGGGTTGTGTCTCTATAACGTACATTTATTCTGGTATGATTGCAACTGTTTTTGAATGGTGTAGGTAACTTTGAAAGTTCTCTGCAACCAAATCAGCAAAATGAGTAGTTTTCAGTACAAACAAAATACAGCTGATTGATATCAGCTGAAATGTGAAGAAAAATGACCATGGATAGAATCTCATAAAGGGATTCAGTGAGCAGGGGGACTGTGTAGCCATTGGGTACTAGAGGACTGGGAGAAATAAAATCGCTAGGGAGGACTAGAATCCTGAAAGCACGCTGGATGGTGACGGTTGGTTGGGAGTGGCAGAAAATCTAAAAGGTTTTGTAGTATTTCTGAGAACAATTGCTAATGATGTGAGGAATAAATATGAAGAAGAAGAAACTGGCTATTTGGATTTGAATGAACATAGAGTAATAGGAGTGTTTGGAGTGATGAGTGGCAAAAGAAAAGTGCAAGATATGTGCAAGTAAGTTTTGGACAGAACATCAATAGTGTTCTGATAGTGAGGTGAAGTACTTTGTCACGTGATAAAAATCCATAACCAAGGAGCAAATTGTTGTCTCTGTGGATATGCTAAGAAAAGCATAACATTTTTTCTATGACTTTTTTGGTATAAAAGGCTCAAAACTCACTGTTTCTCAGAAGTTATGTGCTGTACATATCTCTACTGCAACATTCTGGTGGTCAGAAAAAAGGTGAGAAAATAATTTCCCAATATTATTATTTTAAAAGCAGAACTGAATGACAAAACATGGCTGGATATTAGGGGACTAAAGATAATATTTTCAAAAAGATAGAAATATTATCAGCACTGGTCTCCTTGAGGTACTTTTACTTGCATTGTAATTTTATTGCAATACTTTTTTTTTTTTTTTTAATTCCAGATCTGTGACACTAAGAAAGGTTAAGTTCTGTCAGCATCTCTTTGTTCTTTTCTTCCTTTATTTTTAAAAATCCTTTCAAAAATATTTTGAGCCTTTAGACCTGCTCCTCTTCTGGAAGAGGTAAAATGTGTCCCGTCTTCTAAAGCGTTTTTTAGTAAATTCATTGTGTTTTTGTAACAAAGCTCTCCCTGAGCGGCAAGACGGCCTTGTGCGGCTGGAAGCGATTTCTGAGTAGCTGAACGTGGGCCTGTTCCCCTTCATAATGATGGACTTTGAGGACTCTGTCAATGAGATGTGTATGTTAAAAAGTCTTTTAAAAAAAATTCTCCCCGAATGTTTCATTACGTTGTTGTCTTTTTACTTAGAAGAAGTTACTGCGTATTGAGCTATTGATATTTTAATTCAGCAGTTTTCAACTGTTCATGATTTACCCTTCTATGAAATACTTAAAGATGTATAGGATTCCTCTTAATAGAGAATTACAGCTTAGTAACAGTAAGTTTGCTTTTTTTAAAATCCGCTTTCTCTGTCCTCACACCTGAACTTTCAGGTAATATACTGTTCTTAATGTATAGTCTCATGTCAGTAACTAGATCTGTGTAAGTGACTTTTCAGCCAGATTTGAGTTCTATTCTGTTATTTTTTTAGGAGGGTTTCATTAGTAGAGCAGATTCCACCACTGTGTATGTCTTTTGCTGTGCTAAGATGTTTTTTTTTCTTTTCCCTCCAGTCCTTCCGGGTTCAGTGCTACTTCAGAAAGTGTCTCAGTATTTTGGTTAGCCAAAGCTAGCCAGCTTCTTATCATATGATATACACAGCAGCAGTGCGGTATTATGCACGTAGGAGTGTGCTATTTCAAACCTGCCTTTCTTGATCGTTGTTTGTAGAAGGCTGTGAATAGTTCTCTACCTGAACTGTTACAAATGTCTTTTTTGTTAACAGTTGGAAGTTTTTCTTGAATAAAGCAGCCAAGAAGTGCTTCCTGCTTGTATAGTACATTTTATCTAGTAATCTTTAGATGTTTTACAACTATTAGTTAATCCTCAGTCTGCACAGACAATGGAGTAACCTTTAAAATCACTAAAGCTGTCAAGAAGATAAAGGATGAAAAAGGTCAGTGTGGCAAATTCAGTTGGTTTGAAGTTACACTTTGTTTGCAGTTGTCCCTACTAAAACTTGAGACTGCTACAGACGAAAGAAGACGGAAGAAAGAATTTCTTCCTATTTAGTTTTCACAGTTCTGGTGTATAATCAGGGTTTTGATAACTGGCCCCTTTCTCTTCCTTCTCTCCTCCTTTCTCTTCCTTCTCTCCTCCTTTCTCTTCCTTCTCTCCTCCTTTCTCTTCCTTCTCTCCTCCTTTCTCTTCCTTCTCTCCTCCTTTCTCTTCCTTCTCTCCTCCTTTCTCTTCCTTCTCTCCTCCTTTCTCTTTTTTCCTTTTTTTTTTTTTATTCCCCTACCCTTCATTTCTTGGTATGCTCTGACTTGGGCCATATCTGAGGAGAGCTCTTAGGTTACATCAGCTCTGAAGTAGTATTCATAAAAAAAATCAAAAAAGAAGGAAGGAAGGTGAAGAAGGTATGTGAAGAAGGGAGCAGTGGTAGGAGGCATTGACATGAGCAAGTCTGTATATATTGGTTTGGTCTGCACAAAACTCCCGAGCTAGGCGTTATTACGTAGGGCACAGAAAAAACGGTTGGCAGCCTCTTTCTGTTCTGTCACATGCGTGCACCTACTTTGGCTCTCTTACCCTACATACTGGTCCTGCTTTCTGTTATTGATTCAAAGCCTTAAAACCTAGAGACTTTTAAGAATACTGTAATTGAATACTGCCCAGACTTCTTTTGCAATTTAGGCCACTTTAGGTTGTCCGGTAGGTAGCAGATTTCTCTTGAGAATGAGACACTGCCCATTAATGTGAAGCACGGCTGTTTCCCCAAGATTGCTATCCCATTTGCTGGGAGACTGCAGCCTGCTCGCGGTTGTACTCTGCTCCTTTTGAATGGAAGATGAGTGTTTGATAACTTCGGGTTGTTCTCTGTTTTCAGCCATCTGTTGCATGTGGCAGTCTCTCCTCACTGTTTTTAGTACTAAAGCTCAAGAGTGGATTTTACAGCATTGTTTTCTGCTTCACAAAACAGAATGGGGGTTGCAAATAGTTCTAGATGTAAACTTACGTAGCTCGATTACAATCGGCATACTTTAAATTTTATAACTTCTTTCAAAAAGGGGCATCAGGACTGGTACCAGTGAAGCCAGCTTTTCTGCAATTTTTGTGATTTTCCTTTGGGATCAAAGAAAGAGAATTATGGCACTCTTAATATCTTTCTTATTCCTTCCTGCTCTGTAAGTATCAAACTCTTCCCTTAAAACTCTTGCAGACTTTCTCTTGTTTACCTGTCTTCACAAAATTGTAGGAATTTGGAGATGCACAAATTTGGTTCAAAAAACAGACGATAGTCATATGTACTATTTGACTGTATAGAAGTGATTCCCATAGGAAAAAAAAAAGGATGATAACAATGTAATAAGTTATATTTATTTTATACAAAGAGATAAAACAGTGTATGTGAGAGAGAATTTCCAAGGGAAACTAATATCTCGGCACCACCAACAAAGTAAACATATCAAATTATTATACCTTAAGGCAAGCTTTATTACAATCGTAGTTACAGAGTAGTTTCTTCATTTTGAGTACCATACGATTATTTTGAAATTTTTTTCACAAGTACCATTCTAAATACAAATCGAAGGCTTCTGGCTTATGTGTACACAAATGTTTGTGTAGGCCTGAATTACCCTTTGACTTTATGGTATCTATTTGTTTCTAAATTTGATGCCAAAATGAAATGAATCCAGACTTTAGAGCATAGCATGCAGCTACATTCATCTGAATGTTTAGCCTAGTTCCACAACTTGTTTTTCTGAAGCTAAAAGGAGGTTATTGTACTGAGAAGGGGAAAATATATATATATATATAAATTTATTTATTTATATAAAATCAGTATTTAGCAGTTACCAGGAACCGCAGAACTTCATTTTAAGACACAGTCATTTTTGCACCTGCTATATGACATCATCCTTGTGGGAGTCTTAGGTGTTGCAGTTTTACAGTTTTACACATCATTTATTGCAGTTTGTTCTGCTTTGCAAAACATTAGCAAATCCATCAAATGCTCTTTTCTTCTTAACAAAAAAGTGACCCTGAGCTAAATTGGTCTTATTTTTTTGATAGAATTTTTCACTTGAATTTTGGAGATTGACAGCTATTGTGGAATTGTTTTCCAGTTCTGTCAAAGTAGTGTCATCCTCTGTCTCACCGGAATCGGTCTTTCTGGAGGTTGCATTTCCTCTAGTCTTTTGTGGGAATGACCATAAACTGTATTGTATGCTTTCATTAAAGAAGCCTTGTGGGAGCGATGAGGAATATGCATTTTCTTCACTCTGATCCAGTGGGGAATCACTTTCTGTGTTGAAGACTGACGGCATTTTTCCAGAAGAGTTAAGGTGATGCAGATCTACCGTAGCATTGCAGGACTGCATTTCTTCAGGCAGGCAGCAATTGGTGCTACGCTGCGTTTCTCTATCCTCATCACATTCTTCGTTCCTAAAGCCTTTTTGCATTTTCTCTGCACGAGTCTTGGGCGTTTTCACTTGCTTCCCCTCATCTTTTTCAGTGGTAACGAAAACACATCTTTCAGTTGTACTTTCAGGCTGAGACTGAAGAGATGATTCGTTGATGGCTATGTTGGAACACAGTAGTGATGCTTTTCTAGCAATTTGATTTAAACCAAAATCAGTGGGAGTAAATGTAAAATGATTGTTCTCGGATGTATTCATGTTCCTTCTTACTGTAAGGTCCCCTTCACTGTGATCCTCTTCAGAGGAACTCCTCTCTACATGCTCTTCTGCACTGATCTCTGCTGCGTTTTCTTTTTGTTTAGTAGGACTGAATCTCTGAAAGTGCTGGGGTTGAATGGGAAATTGATAGCGCTGCAAGTCTGTCTCTTCGGAAGGAGTGTCCTCTATATGTGAGGCATATATGGGAGAATGTTTTGATGAAACTAACATCATATCATTACAACTCATATTTTCTTTGCAGAGAGAATCAGAAATAGTTAACTCTGGATTGGTAAAACACTTAAACATATCAGGAACTTTTTGACTAGAAAAACTGATTGTGTCAGAATCTGAGACAGTTACATGATCACTACATTTGTCAGGGTAAGATGATTCTGTTTCAGACACGGTGGTATCTGATCCATAACTAACAGTGGCTTCAAAAGAAGCATTGTCTGTGTTTTCATCTTTTCCAATATGCTGAAGTTCAGCAGCAAGGCTTGGAGACTCTGGCACTGTGGAGGACTTACTGGTTCCATTGTTTGTATCAGCCTTTTCTAGTGATGACTGACAGCTTGGGAGATTGTTGCTTGGTTGTCCCAGTTCAAAATCTGCTAAAGAACTGCAGTCACTCATTGTAAATGAAGTCCCTTCGTCTGAAGAGCTATCACCTAATATGTCTGCTGAATCATCTCTTTCATTAGTACCTTCTGATTTATAATACTCTGCAAGAGAAGAATTTTCTCTTGTTAAGTAGGCACTTAAATTCTCATGATTTGTCTCTTTCTGGCAGCTATTGGGTAGAATAAAATCTCCCGCATCACTGATTTTACTTATTTTACCATTTACACCAAGCTCTTCATTGCAGTTTTGTGTTCTGGGCATGAATATTGTATGGCTTAGGGGCTCATTATGTGAGATCATTTCTTTCCATTCAGGAGAATCTGGTGTAGCCTCTGTAATTTCAGACTGCAGCAGATCAGATTTGTTAGTTATCTCACCGTTCCCAGAATATTGTGCATTTGTATGTGTTTGTATTCCAGAAAATGGAAAGCCAGTCTCTTGTGTGAAGGGGAAATCTAAATCTGAAGATTCAGTGTGAATTGAGTAAGAGTCAGCATTCAATCTGCTGGATATGGGAGGGAAAGTGCTCCTTTCTGAGTCTTCATTACTTGCATATTTTGAATCTTTGCATAATGAAATGTCATTGTTTGTTAATTTTCTTGGTGTTACTTCATTGCTGTTTTTGCAGTCCGTCCTTACAGAGAATTGTCCGTTCTGATCAACATCTATATAATCGTTATTGCTGATACTAGTTGCTTTGCTGTTTGAAAACACTGGTATTTGCTTTGCTTTGATCTCGTTACTGCTTTGTTTCTGGTACTTTCCCTCAGTGTTTGGTGCATGTACATTGCTATAAATGACACTTTCGTACAAACTAGAAGTCTCTGTAGGAAAAGTACATGAGTTTTTAAAAGAATTTTCATCACAAATGAACAAATCATTCGGTGTATTTGCTGGTATGCTTGCAGAATGCTCTCTGCTCAGAGTTTCATTTGGAAAAGCTTGATTAGAATAAATGTGTTCTGAAGCTGAGTTTTTGCTTCTGCGCATGAGTCTCCACAAGTTCACAAGGTAGGGTCTAGCAAAAGCACCCAGACAAAAAGCACAAACAAATGTAATGAACACTGAGAGGCAGACAGCCAGTGCAAGACCTTGCTCGGTTCTTCCTTGTCTAAAAACAGTGTTAGTGTCCCGTGTTTTTCTAACCAAAGTAGCTGAAAGCTTTTCCTTTACCGCTATGTTGTAGATGAGAGATTTCTTCCTTGTTGTATTAAAAATACACATATAAAACCCTTGAACAGTTCTGTCAGCATTGTAGATTACTAAATTATTAATTTTATCCAGTGCCATGTGAGGAAGACTCTTATCTTTTGAAATTCTGCCAGTAGGTGTCCACCAAGAGACCCCATTGCCTGAAATAAAAGAAAATATGAATTAAATTTGCCTTAAAAGCAGAAAATATTGAGGGGTAAATTTATTTCTCTAAAGACATTCTATGAGTATCTTTGATAAATCAAACATTATTTATTCTTATGAAATGTTTCTTTTTATCCATCCATAATCACTAGATGTTGGGCCAAATGTCTGTTAAGTCATCTCATGTTTTTCTCCACACTTAAAATGCAGCACATACTATGTCCTACTACAAGACTTTACAAGAAAAATAGCGTGGGTAGCAGAGGGGGGAAATAACTGGAATTACATAAGTATGTTCTGGGTCACACCAGAAACACCTGCTGATCTACTTCATGCAAGATCCATGTTCACAGCCAGCCCTTTTTCAGCATGGCATGGTGGCTGCATGCAGCAGCTAGGTAAAAATTTATTCCTTAGTTAACTATTAGTATTTCAGCTACTGTGATTTTCATGTGGTTACTGCTATGAACGCTGCAAAAAATGTTTGAAAATGAAGGTATTTGTATGTACCTAATGATTGTTCCAAACTTCAGCTACTGCTGGAGATGGCTGCTTGTTGGCTTTTGGAGTACATTTCAAGGAAGTGTGTACATGATTGCTTTTGGGTCTACTTGGGTTTACAGTTCATTTTTGGTGTAATCCAATCTGTTGCTTTTAATCCCGTGACCAAATTTTTCTCTGTGACTTTCCTTGATAATGGATAAAGTAGGTGGCATATTTGATAGACCCTAGGTACTCTCATTTGGGGATAAGGCACTCCCAATAGGAAGGCTTATCACCTCCAAGGGCTATTAGTCTGTTGGAGTCGAACTGTTTCGGCTTATGGAACGTGACAAATACACCTCCTTAAGTTCTGTCTTCGTTTTAAATCTGCATGGAGAAAGTCTTAGCTTTGTAGAATTTGTCATTTGTAGATCAAGTGCTCACTATTAATTGCGTATGCGCTATTTGTTTACTGAGTAAACTGCTGCAGTCTTCGGTGGCTGTACTTTTGTAGAAGAAATACAGTTCCTTTCCTTTTCACATGCAAATAATTTTTCATCTCATTTTGCTATGACTAAGTACTAGAAGCCCTGTTGCTTCCCTTCTTGTTTTTCTACATGCCCCAATATGTCTACCCCATAACTATTAATCACAATAGTAAGAAAAAAGTCTAATTGTCTCCTGTGTCCGAGAATTACTTGACATACTATTTATTTAAACTTCTTTGTGTATAATTGTATACTAGCATTACTTACTAGTTGGGTGTAAGATAGTAGATTATATTTAAGAGGTTTTGGGGGAAACTGGCTTTCAAATATTCTAACTCATATAATACTTTGTGAGCAAATAATTTACCTGTTAGATTGTTTCTCAGTTATTTTTTTGAACCAATTTCTTTTGACATTCTGCATGCATTTGGATTTTAGCAGTGTATGGATAGCCTGTTTTACATACCCCTTGTGTTATCCAAGTCACAGTTTAGTACGATTGTCTTTCCTGTTGGGATTACAGTTGTTTTAAATGAAACGCGGTCATTGCAGTTTAAATGGAAACTTGAAAGAGGCAGGAGAGGTTTCTGTGAGACGTTGGCACATTTATTGCATGAAATATTCCATTTTTTCCTCATTGAGTCAAAAAGAAAATGAATTAAATGTTTGAAAGCTTTTACTCTGCAGTTACATATCCAGGGATTATTTGACAAATCCACTTCAAGGTGAAATATGTTCAAATCGGTTAATATCTGTGGTGGAAGGGTTGTCAGAGTATTTCCACGAAGATCCACGACCTATTTGGAAATAATTATTTAAAAATTCATTCATTCAAAAATAAATTTATCAGTTCTTAGAATGAAATCTGAATTGGTGTAGTGTCAACAGTAACATTTGTTTTAGTACAATGAGCATTTCTAAAGAAATGGATATAACTGTTTAGCGTTTCGAGTATCCTATTCTAAGCTCTTTGATTTAGATGAAAAAAAATTACATTATGTTTAGCTCTCTTTCATTGCAGAATACTACTTTCTGTATGACTGGCAATATCACCTGGTTCTCATCATGGAATGTCTATTACATTATGCCCTTGGGTGCAGAAGAGGTTTCTCTTAATGAAATGATGCCAAAGATTTTCAGTCATGAAAACACCTTCTGCTTTTTCATGGCACTCTGATCTCCTTAGAAAAGGTCTCTGCAGCCATATTTCCTCTGAAACTCCTCTAGAATTCTTTCTTAACTCACCGTTAATAAGGATCTGTGGCATCATTTTAGGGTTTTGGGTTTCTTGGAGGGGATGGAAGAGGGATGTATGTCTGTGCACATGCATATGCAGAAGGAATGGAGGACCAAAAGGATGTGCAGGTATGTAGGAAAGGAGAATGCCACAGAGTATGGTCCTTGCCCCTTATGAACCTCCCTGCAGATAGGTAACTATCTATAATACTGTCTTGATGGCATTTTCTTTTTCAAAGTCCTACTTGCTGTTAGAGGACCACTGAGATTTGATTTAATCTGTTCGTGTGGCATGGGGATGTGGCACCACCTGTGCATACACAAATGATTTTAAAATTGCAGAATCGGAACAAACAATCTCAGTAGCATCTTATCCTCTTCAACAGGTATCGGAGGAAGATAATGTTTGAATACTTTATGGCAGAATGAGATGATACATATATAAAAAAGTATATGTGTGTGTGTGTATATATATAATACTTATATTTGCATGCACATACACTGAATAAACTGACCAATTTATGGTTGGACTAAGTATGAATGATGGGTAGCTAAAATCTAGTATATACTTGATTACGAGTACTTAAATTATGTTCCTAAATTTACTGCTTTTCTGCTTACATCCCTCTTTCAACTTGCAGAAAACTAATAGACTATCCTAGATAACTTCCCTACTGACTTTCACATATTTCTGTCTGCATCCTTTTTTTCTTTCCAAAACAAAGATGTTAACAGGTCTGCACTGCACAGTGCAGTGTAGCGTAGAGACAGGGAGGCAGCTGAGTAACAAAAATAGCTTGGCTACTGTAGCATCAGCAGCACCTTTTGGAGTTTGTCTGTCTTGCCAGAAAGCAATTTGCAGGGTAGATGCATCTTTGTTCACAAAACCCATAGGGAAAAGTAAAACTGATATGCATGTATTAAATTGTAGAAAAGGCATTGTTTGGCTGTTAAAATGGGTGGATGGATAAATAAATGAATGCTGCGACCCTGCTAAGGTAGGTGTCCTGCACAAGGTAAAGTTATTGGTAAACCAAGTTCCGTCCTGTAGTGGATCCGTAGCCAGTAAGCATTGATCTCACCCCCTCCAGATGAATAATCCAGATTTTAAATTAATTAGGTCCTACCTTACTCCAACACATTGGCCTAAAGCACCATGTATCAGGGAGGGTGGCACAGCATGCTTGCTACTCTGTTTGTTGATATCTGGCTATATTCTGACTTTTGCCATTTAAAGTTGTCCCTGCTTTTTTATACAAATCTGCTTATAAACTTTTCATATACAAACAGACTCCATGTGCCCTAATAAGTTTAAAGGAACTTAGAACAGCATTGGGAGTCATAGAGGGATGATAAAAGGATAAAAATAAGACTTTTAAAGCCTTTAAGCCTTTTAAAATAAGACTGCTTTAAAATATCTACAAGAAAAATAAATCACATTGTACTGATCAGTATAAAAACTAATTTGCTGAGTAGTTGGTGATCAGTATCTTGAGCAAGGATTAATACAAAACATAAACCAATATTGCAAGTATTTCTACAACCTGTAATTTGTTCAGATCCTTGAAGGCGTCTGGATGAATTTTAGTTATCTTGTTGTTTTGTAAGTAGATATTCTTCAGTTGTGAGCAGTTTTGAAAATCATTCAGATCGATCTGTAGTATGTCATTGGATGACAAATGGATGGTTTGTAAAGACTGCAGCATTTTTAGTCCTAGGAAAAACAAAATTGTTTTATGTTTTATATTCTTGTTTTCCTAATTGCATCAAGCAGCTTTTTAAAATTCTTTGCAACAACATTCCTTCAATTACTATCTATTGCAACCTGTGGCTGCAGCCTTTGATTTATCATGCTTTTTCTATTCAGTGGTGTTATCCCATTTTAAAAGTTGTACGGCATCAACACCAGGTGCTTTAATATATTCACAAATCAGTGCATGCTTTTTTTAAATTTAGACATCCATAAAAGCAGTAACATTACTTAGTGCTGTCAAAATTCTTAATGAGCGTGATCTCTGTGCTTTGAGCACACCTCTGTGGAGAATTAGAGATGAGAAAGGAGGAGTGTGAAAAAGGGCAGAATATACTCTTTTATAAATCAGAATATGAGGAGTAAATGAAAGGGGGAGATGCGAGAAGTGATACAACTTCTCCTATTCATAGCTGTCCTCAAGTTCATGCCCATTTTTCATATGTGGAATTATTGGAACTAAATTCATAGGCTATAAAGCTGGCTGAAAACTGAAACTTGTGTGTGTTGATTATGGCTGCGTGCCTGTGAAATATTAAGCAGATCAGCTTATTCTTCAGTGTTTCCTGGTTATGACAGCATCTATCTTACATATGTGGCTGCTCTAAAAGCTAGAGATACCTCATCTTTCTAAGACACTGTGCAGGGAGCCCTTGTTAACTCTAGTCTGCAGAATCTTATTGGAAAGCTGGCATCTGAACATTCAGCATCACAACGTTTTTGTAACATCTGTTTCACTCGCAAGTGATTTTTTTTTTTTTTGATTGTAGGGCATTGTTTAGAAGCTACTCGTTCTCCTTAATTCCGCCCTTGGTATCATCAGGTTTACAGGAAATCTTTGTTTGCTCTTTCTGTTTGCTGAGTAACTATCTCTGGGTTTATTGCAAAAGGCTGACACAAGGATTCGTTCCTACTGTAAATGTAGAGGTAGGTAGTATGAAAGGCATTCAGAAGTTCTGGCAGTTCCATCAATTCTTCCTTGTGCCTTTATGAAGGTTTGTAGGTTGCATGCTTGAAGCTACATTTGTGCCAAAAATGCCTATTGGTATGGCACTGTGGTTTGCAGCCTGATATCTTGAGTGCTGTGAGAAGGGTTTCTTTATAGCCAGAACCCCTACTTCAGAATTTAAGCTTGATCTTGAAACGTCTCCCGTACCAGAGCTTAAAAAACAGAAAGTTAATGAAGTTTTTTGGAGAATGAAAATAAAGTTCTGAACATAACGAATATGGGATTTAATTACAAATTGGGAGTATGGTAGCATGATGTGTAGCAATTTGATTTTTGTTTTTAACACCTAGAAATTATTGGAATCTCTTACAGTAAAGTGTTATCTTTCTGACCCAGTATAGCATCCTATAATAATACATAGTTATATTTATATAATAAATCAAATTCTCATAAGTATATTTTATATTATAAGTTATTTCTATGCTTTCCACAAGGACACCTTATAGATACTTACATATACGGTTAGCAAAATAATGAAGCAAAACAGTTTGCTGCATGCCAGAGAATTATTTGGTATCAAAAAAGGAGAATAATGGACCTTCTAGGACCCTGTGTAATTTCAGGGTTAGTCTTTGACTTTGTGAGATATGCCCCCCAGTATTTATGAAGTTTAAGGCTAATGCCTATGATGATGTTATCAGAGATCAATAAAATTCAATAAACAAGAATATACAGGATAGCGTTGCTCATACTGTAGCTTTTGCTTCATTTAAACGCTTCCGGGACAATGTGAATTGTCTGTTTCTGAGGGCACAGGCTGCCATAAAGGGTATTCCTAGCATACTTGAGTGACTAGCAAATGCTTTCTCAAAGTTTACTGAAGATTTAAATCCCTCTCGTTAGTAGAAGGTGTCACTTTGGGTCTTCTCTTTTGAAAATATTAACAAAGAGATGGCAGTGAACGCTGGTAATTGTTTTGAATTGGATAAATTGTTTTCCTGCTGCTGTGAAATACTGAAATTGGAGCAAGTTTTTAAGAGTATTGACTCTATTCTGAACAATAGTGTTACTTCCCTTATTCCTTATTTTCTTGATGTTAAGGTTTACAATTGGGACTTAGAGGCTGGTGTTTTCATTCCAAGCATTTTTACTTCCCTTTCTATAAAGCAAGGAAAAATACTCCTTTGCCTCTCAGAGGGTAAGTTTGGTAATGTTTGATTGGCACTAAGGCATTATAAATTCAAAGACTGTATGGAAAAAAAACAAACCTAACCCAAAGAACCCATTTACTCTAGTGTCTGTATTTGCACTCAAGTGAAACTTTTCCTCACCTTAAACATAACGAAATGAGATAGTTATATTCTAAAGTCACTAAGATGTATGAAATTATATCTAAAATTAACTTATCTCTTGGGTGATGTACTTAAAAGTTTTGAAAACTTACCTCTAGGAATTGTATTAAGATTGTTTCTTTCAACTGATAATACTTTCAAAGCAGGCAAGAGGTGATAGGCTTCTTTGTACTTTTCAGACCTACGTGCAGGTGTAGGTATGTCCAGTGTGAGGGTGCTGATGGCATTACCATTGAGGTTTAGCGTTTCTAAAACTGGTAAATTTCTAAAAGTAGCTAAGGAGAGTTCAGAAATCAGGTTGTTACTGAGATTCAGGTGTTTCAGCATCCATTCTTCATTGCTGCCGTTGGTGCACAGGAATGTTTTAATGTTGTTGTAACTTAAATCAGCTGTTATCGCTGTTTGTGATACATCTTTTGGAATAGCAGATATTCCAGTAAAAGAACAATTCATTAAGAACTTCCCATCCCACCGGCAGTCTGAATGGTGAGAAATATCAGAGAGAATCTGGTGTGACTTGGTTTCCATCGATCCAGGAAGATTAAAGTAAAGGACCACAGCTATGACACTCAAGCGAAGGCTATCCATAGTATCTATATGTAAGATGTAAAATTATGGTAAGTTCATCATAACTACAGTCAAGTAGAAAGCAGAAATGCTTTTAACGTTCAAAAAACAAACCAACCAAACTTAAAATACCCAAACCATTGCCAATGTTCTACCTTAAACGTACAGTTTTGGAGTCTTAGGTATTTGTCAAAAAGCATATTCAGAAATTGGTAACCTCCCCCACCCACCACTTCTCCCCAAAACAATCCAAACTTTTTCTTACTTTTCCTGTCCTTAACTGGAGAAACACAGCTTCTCAGGAACTCATGCACAAAAAGCAATGGAGACTTTTGAACTAACTTCAGGTATCATACACTGTTATCACTGAGCAAAGTCCACCAGTTATAATCTATGACAAATAGATGTGGAATGGTTTTCATACTTTCAGTTAATAACTAGCTTCACTGTTAATAACACAACAACACATCTTTACTGAGACTACGTTCTTACAAGTAACACTTCTAGACCACAGTTGCCTGTTAGAATTTATTGTTCCATTTCAAAACAAAATTAGAAATCCAATTGTCTTTTACCTATTGAAACAACAACCATCTTTACACATGCAGAGAATTCTTCACGTTAAATTGTTTTAAAGAACCCAGTGCTGTATTTTACACAGGCATGTAGTCTGTGCTAGACTCTCAAGTGCATCTGCAGGATTGAAATAAATGTGTGTCACACAGTGTTTTACACAAGTATAGAAAAATGTGTATTAAGCAGTTAGAAGATAAACCACAAAAAATGCATAACACATGGCAAGTATGGCATCAATGTTTCTCAAACTCTGTAGTGAAAGCAACAAAATACATTAACAATACATAAATAATGGCCAACAAATTGCTAATTTATATTAATTGGTGTCTGTACGATTGCTAGGTTTTGACTAAAAATCCACACTTCAAAAACAATTCTCCAAACCATAATCTAAAAGTACCTTTGTGACAAACTTTTCAGCTATATTTATTAGTATTTTAATAAGAACTGTGATAATTACAGGTAAAGAATCCACTATTAGCATACAAGCATATCAGTAATAACCAGACAAGAGCTATGTGTTCTTTATGTGTATTCTATTTGATCAAGGCAGTATTTGTTATTTAGCAAGATCTATTTCAGCTTTGAGGGTTGTGCTGATACTGCTATTAGTAAGACAGCAAAAGTTCTAAAAACGTCATGGTTTGTTTCCTCTGCTTAATTGTAACAAATACTAATTAGGGCATCATTTAGAGCAGGTAAGATGTGTGCATGGTTTCAGCAAAATTTGTATTGACATAATTAATAAATACTAACTGTAGTAAAACTATAAATGCAGTGTGCAAAATGTTAACACTCTTCTGTGATCTTTACTGTGAGCAATCAAGTGACTTCTTGTTACATTTTATTCCATTTTTGTTCAAAATAACCCTGACCCCCAACTGAGCATCAAAACTTGGCTGTGCTTTTGCACCACTTAAATGACATACTTCCCTCATGTGACCCCCCTCTGACCTGCCATTCCACCTGTTTAGATCCTACTGACTTCTAGTTAAAGGTAGGAATCAAGACCATAGAAAGTTCTTTGCAGCAGGGCCTGACTTGTCCTTTGTGGAATTCTGTGTACTTTGAGAGCTATAAAACAAGACTAGATTGTAATTTGTCTTCCCATAACAAATGAAAAATTCAATTCTGAAGTTAATGTATAACATTTGTACAACTTTTAGGAAGTAAAGTGTGTCCTTATCTAGAGAAACCTGTCAAGTGCTTGTCAAGTCACCTTTGTGACCTCCATTAAGGTTACTTGATGCTATTGCAGCAAAACTATTTTAAACTGAAAAAATGCATAGGGCAGAAAGGGGGAATCTTATAATGAGCTGGTCTATTTTTAGTACAAAATACCTTATCTCTCCAAAGCAGTTAAAAGGCTGTAATAATTTCTGTAAGGTCCCAGTTCATCATATACAAAGTTTCACTGCTGACAAATTCAGATACATATGTGTTTACCCTGCTATTGTGGGATCCAATACCATCACATTTAGAATTACAGACCTTCAGTTTTGTTAAATTCAGAATTTAACTCCGAGGTTCTCAGCAATGCATTGGTATTGATACTCATGGAAAAAAGAGACCTAATCTCAGCCACTGCTACTTATAGCCATGCTTTAGATTATCAGCTGTTAAACAATGAGTTAATATATTGTTCACATTAAAGCACTCAGGAAAGTACTTTTCTTTTGGATAGTGAGCAAATTATCAGTACGTATTAAAAGTGTACTTTTAATATAAACACATTTTACAAATACTTCGCATAAATCAAACAAGTGTAGAATACCTAGACTGCACAGATATAATAGGAGCTCAAGAAACACTTGAGTAATCACAATTTTCACTATTAATAGCTAGAATATTTCAGAATTAAAATCACATTTCCACACCCTGTATTTCTTTGCAAATAATATTCATGTTAGAGTAATTTTTTAACTCTATGACACTGTATGGCAGAAGTAATGCAATATTTAAAAGTGAATCTGGCGTTGTCTTTTAGTACACATATGGCAGACTACTTATTTTGGGAGGAAATCTTCATGTCAACCTTTGGCAAGAGAGCGAGTAGAGGACACACAAGTTTGCCTCTTCAACTATCCTAGACAAATCTCCTTTGAACAGCACACTGACATTCAAGTTGAAGTACTTCAAAATACAGTTTTGTTCTCAGCAGTCTTCAGGGTCTCAAGATGTAGGACAAAAACTTGCTTTAGAGGCAAATGAAGGCAGTCAATATCATTTCTAACATCACGTTCTCTTTAAATGTATTCTATTGGTCCCAATTCAGGAAGGTACTTTAGTATGCATGTAAACTGAAACATGTTACCGCACCTTACTAAATTAGAGCCACTATTAGGACAAACATGATGATGAAATAATACTGCTGAGCAAAACTTGTGTTTAAAAAATAAGTGTTAATATAAACTGCTGTACAAACAGAAATGCTTGAAGGCATGCAATTACTTCATACAAGGAAATGTAAACACACAAGAGAACTTCCTGGCAGCGCTTTGCGTTTTAATGCGTGGCTCCACATGGATTGACCGAAGTCTGGCAACCCATGTTATATCCTGTCACTTGAACTTTGAACAGTGTTCCATCTGCGCACATACAGAGCTTGAAACGTAACCAGTTACCATTATTAAACTGTTCCCCATAAGAAGAACTTGGCAGTCGAGATGGGCTGACCATCACAGTTCCATTCAGGATAATGCTGTTTTCCTATTAAGAGGGCAAAAAAGTCAAGTACAACTTTTTATGTAACCAAGGCAAACTGTTTTTGAAAAGGACAAGTTAAACCAATAAATCATATCATTAGCATGGCTGCAAAACTCAACAAAATAATTTTTTTTAAATCTATAAGCGAAAGTTTCATTTTTAAGTTAAATTTGTGAGTAACGTCCACCAATTTCTCAATTTTAGCCAGGAAGGTACTTTGCTATTCCAGTGGCAGGTTGCTATTGATAGACACAACAGTAGTGTGGTAGACAGTTCTTCACTTTAGTGACCTATTAGCAAAAACACTAAATCTAAAAATCTATACGTGAAATGGAAATCAGGGTTTGAACTTACATTTCCAGATGTATCTTTATTTCCTTCTTCCCCTCAATATTTTTCCTCGTTTTATATGCTCTACGGTCTTAACCTCAAAAAAGCTTAAATGAATGCTGGTGAATCTTGCTATGATAGCTCATGAAGGTACTGATCCTAACTGTACGCTCTGCTCCTCTGTCAAAGGTGGCTGTCTGCAGTAAAGCTTCCAGAAGGGGATAGGTATTCCCTTTGGTGTTTGTTTCAGTGCAGAGGCCAATGGCTTAGCTTTAATTGCTCTGTAGGTTTGTCGCATCTTACAGGAGTAAATTATTCTTACCTTACAACTATTGAGCCATTAGTTAAAAGAGAGGTAATAATCCACCTTTTTAAGGTCCTACCAAGTACACTGACTGCAACTACACTTTTATGCATGACTATTTAATATAACATTTGAATTCATACAAAACTATTAAGTGTTTACTCCGCCTGATTTTGAAACTAAGTTGCTCAAAAAATGCTGATTTGAAATACTTACTGCTTTAAGTTCCATGTTACCTCCCATGCGAAACTCAATGGTCTTGCCTGTAATGAAAACTCCTTCATTTCCACGGACAATAGCACGTCCATCAACCTTTATGTTTAGATCACTGGTTGCATTGCTGGTAATCTAAGAGCATAAAGAAAAAACAAAAAGGGTATTACAGATGAATGAAAAAGTGCCACTTGGGTTTGTCTGAGTAACTTTTATTACCTTAAAAGTATTGTTAAACAATTTAATAAAAAAAAATCAGTATATTTTGCACCCTACTCCTCCTGCTATGCATGCGAAGCTTACGCCTATTTGTTACTTTCTGTGCTTACATTTAGAAACAAGGATTACCTGAGTATGGAAACACAGGTAAAATAGTTTATTGCTTGCATATAATTTGATTGCACTAAAAATATCAACAATTCACATAGAAGAGTTATACAGGATATATAACTAACACCGGTAGCAAATACAACATTCCTGCAAACAGTGACTATGTAAACTTATTATGTATTCATTTAATCTGGTCTTGCATTTAAAGTTATAGTTGTTATTTTTGTCTCTGAAGCATACATAGTTAACTGTTAGCCTGTAGGGGAAACGCAAATGAAAACAAGCTAAATTCTCTTTTTTGTTTGTTCTTAATAGGATTGGTCACTGCCTCCCAAGATACATTCGACCCTCTGTAAATCCACTGACGCTGATAATGTTATGTAGAACAACTATGGACTGTGTTCTATCTGTACAGCCTTTATTATGAGTGATGATATACAAGAAATAAATTTTAGTCTAACATTAAGATCAACATTTTTAATGCGTGCATACAGATATTTAGTCTTTTTAGTCTTCTGATAAGTAGACCAAACTAAGAACATGTTTAACCTGGAAGCCCTAAGCTAACAGAATTCCTATAATACTATTACTGTTGTCTACACTTTCACTCAGACCTCTAAAAATCTGATTGTAATAACATTTATCACCAATGAAAAGAAAACGATGCATGAAATTCTGGTAGTTATTTTTGTAACTAGTTAGAAACAGAAAAGCTCTTCAGAGATATTCTATTTTATTTATGTGCACAGACATAAATGCTTAATAAAAACACACATAGGCTTTCTAATCCTGATAATGGAGTTGGTGTTCTAGATGTTACGCTCATTTAATAAAATCAGTTTTAATCTCTATTGTACTTTTAAAGATGACTTAGGCTTTCAAAGCTGCCCTTTTTAGCTATATTAAATTTCTACACATGCTTGAAAGATCACTGTAATCGATCATTACAATGCAGACTTTATTATTATTCTACAATGATGGAAATTCTGTAATTAACTTTTGCGGAGAGTAAATGATAGTTTAAAAAAGGCATACCCTCTCTGTAGAAGCTTTTTGTACATTCAAGATTTTAACTCCATTTGGCAGATGAAACTCATGAGTTTCATAGTCTGTGCTGAACAAGGTGTTTTGTGTCCTTGGGTCAACAAATTCCATGCCAATGTCACTGGTAATAGAAGTTTTGTCCTTCTCCACACTGAGCTTTGTTGTTCCTTGCTGAAATACAATCTTCAGAAACAAAGTCTTAAGTTAAATGATGTTTCAAAGGTAATGTTTAGTTATAACGAGAGCATAATTCCATAGCGTGTCTCATAAACTTTCAATTCATGATAATAACTTACAGGCTGATTATTTCCAGTAATCACCAAATCTTCATTACGTCTACCTCCTACAGTGCTTTTATATAATGGATGTATAACGCCCATGTCAGAAACTTGCTTAAATCGCAGTAAGCCGCTCTCATGAAACTCCATACTGTCACAACCGTTGGGACCAATTCGAATTACAGCCCAAATAACAAGTGTAATCTGAAAGAGAAACACATGTCTGAAATGATAAGTAAAATAATATGTGTATATATATACGTGCGTGTGTGTGTGTGTGTATTGCAATTAAATCATGTCCACATTTAAATCTTTTTCCTGTTTAACCATGTAACCATGGTATCATAAGCTAAACAGTTTTGCAGCACAAAGTATCTCAACTCAGGATATAATTATTTACCCTTGAACTAAAAGAAAGCATCTTCTGATGTGGATGTCTAGTTATGAAAAATGATTCAATACTTTTCATTGTCCAAACACTAAAAAGGTGGTTCAGTGAATGAGCAAGAGGAAAGGAAAGGTTTAAAGTACAGTGGCCACTTAATTCTGAATGATCATATGCAGTTCAATTACTGTATGTACACTGTTCCTGTCTGAACCGTTACCCTGAATGCATTTGTACTGCACAAATAACACTTCACACACTTGCTGTAAAGTTTTGGGAACGGAGAGAGACTTTCAAGGTTCCTACTCCTCTGTTGGATAACAGGTGGTTCCATGCTGGGACCATGATACTGAAATAATTATGTCTAAACTGGTAAGATTTTCCAGTCTAATCTTGTTCGGATTTTGCTCTTTTCCTAGAGCAAAAGGGAGAGAAGAAAATGAGAAGTCTCCAGTACCTTTTTAAGTGCTTCTCAGCCAGACTGAAGTAAGTTTTCTCTAATAAACAATCAAAATGAAATACATCCCAATGTTGTTTACAGCCTCAGTATTATACTCACAATCAAATTGATGACAGCCAAAATGAAAAGAAGAACAATCACACAAATGGCCAAGTTGCCTTTCCTGCCCCGTAAGCCTGTCTTGTGGAGACGGTCTTCATCGATGGGAATGTATCCCGCTTTAAAGTTACTGTTGTGCTCCTTATTAACATTCCTGCGCTCCACAGCCTTCTCACGCATAGACTTCTTCACGGGGCCGTTAGAACTTTGCTATAATTCAAAACATGGATTAGCTGTTGCAAGGCATATAATTTACCAAAACCATACATATGTAGGTATGCAAAAAAAAAAGAAAAAAAATCAAGAATGTGAATTGATTGGTGGAACATACAAGATATTATATTCAATATTATATTTTGATCTGCTACTCTATATTTATACTACCCATTTATGACCGGTGCAATCTACGCTAAGACTACCACTAATATTAAAATCCAGATAGTCTCAGGCAATTTATGTAAGTTTTAATGTCTCACTTTTTATGGTGTAAGCTATGAATTATCAGTGAAACTACTGCAGTTAAAAAAAAAAAAAAAGGATTCAGCTGTAAAAGAACTTCATCAAGTTTTTACCTCTTGGGGATGATACAGGACACAATCCTGCAGGTTATTTACTAATACGCAGGATTTCAGTTCCTCTATACTAGTGCAGGAGTCTCAGTGAGTTTATCCAGAGCTGTGAGGAGTGTGAGCTATTAAATTACTTTGACAGCATGTAGTTTACAGTCAAATTCTATTACTTGCAGGCAGCAAGTAGTAAGAAAAGGGAAAATACTCTAAGGCCTCAAGCCTGCCACGGAGGGAAGCTGGGCAGCATAGCTTTACTTTACTGTCTTGAAGCGATTAGATTGCAAGGTGTATCCTGTCAATTTGACAAATTAACATGCAGAGGAAACTCTCACAGATATTCATAGGGAGTGAAACTCAGATGCATTTTCATAACTTTGAACAAAATTTTCTTCCACCTTCCTTGAATGCAGTGAGTTGCAGTGTTAGGGTCCAGTTCTTCAAGCAAGGGGTGGAGCTTTTGGATGGCATTAGAGTTGCTCATCTGATATGAATCCTGAAGCTGCACCTTAAGCTTACTGTACTCTGTGTGTGTGTGTGTGTATACACCGATGTAAAGGGTAAAAATGTCTTCTGCTTGCTCTCATTGTTGAAGGAGATGATGTCCAAAAAGGGTCTTCCTTGGTGACACTGGAAGCCACTGTAACCCTACAAAAACTCAGAATTAGTTAGGTAGGGAAACAGACTGAGAGAAGAGATTGGGATTCTGTGGGAAAAAAAGACGGAAATCTTGCCCAAGGGGATAGTAATTTTTTTGTCCCAAGGACCGTGAGTTCTTGAAAGGATTTGATGGCGAGACAAAATTCAGATGCAGTTTTTCACCTGGTAAGGCAGGAGAAGAGAAGACAGCACCAGGGCTGCCGGAATAGCACTGACACGGCTAATGCCAGATTAAGCACTGCGACGTCCCTGCAAAACTAGAGGGTGTCTCCTGCGGCCCCGGCGACTGAGCTGGGAGAGAACCCCTCAGCAGCTTCCGGCTTCTGAGCCGCTGCCTCCGAAGGGAGCGTGCAGGCGCCCAGGCAGGCCCCGAGGAGGTGGGGGCACACGCGGCAGCCCAGCCCTCGCACAGCGCCCTGCTCCTTGCCAGCCAGAGCCGGCGTGGCGCGGCTGGACAGCGCTGGCCACCGCGTGCGCCCCCCCGAGCGAGGGCAGCGCTCCTTGGGAGAAACCTTGGGCTTGCGCGGAAGTGTGACGACTCAGATGCTGGGGCTGCAGCTGAACTGAACCGGTATTTATACGCTGCCGTTGAGCATGTCCTAGCCCTTATTTAGGCACTGCCGCTGGGCAGCTATCCCGCTTGTACGAAGTAAGAAAGACGGCTCACGTGGGACTGCTGCTTATACCGACTGAAGGCACCAGCTGCTGTCCCACTGGCGGG